GACATTCTGATATTTATTTGATCTATCACTAAGCAAATATGTGTGTTTCTGTGCACTGCATTCATACAGTTTACGTAACTTTAGCTTACTAGCATTATCTGATAGCATAGCATGCCACCTTCTCATGCTAATATAGTTCTTTTTGGCTCCAAAAACAACATGGCAATGGTCAAACAAGCAAAATTTGAGGTCCAGGAAACAATAGGTGGCATCACTTTCATTATGTCCATCTTTTATATACAGATGGTGTAAAAACTACATTGTTTTTATAGATTTCGGGCAGAGGACATATTTAAAGCCCCACACAACACAGAACACTGCACACATGTGCGTTTGTTTTATGTGCATTTGTCCAGGTGTACTTTTGTTCTCCGGCCAGCAGTGACAACTTTCAAGAATAACCATTTCAAGATTATCAATCACGTCCATCTTTTATATACAGTCTACAGCAGCCTAGTGACTAAGAGCTAAGAGCTCAGTCAGACCTCTCATCACTTTAACTGAAGCTAACACAAACGGACAAATTAGGGTACCGATGCTTCCGTGTTGGGAAAATTCAAACACAACAGCAAAAGGGAATGTTAGCATCAAAGGAAGAAACATCTTCTGCAGCATCATTTTTTAAAAGAAACAATAATACTGATATTTTATGTCTGTCTTATTTTTCAGTATTGACCCTCTAATATAATAAAAACTGCTGTACTTCAGTCACATGCAATCCACGTTTTCTTTATCCATTACAACTTTCCTATTCTCAGGCATCAGATTAAATGACTAAAGTGCCAAAATAAGAATTAAACAGGAAAACATTTATCTCCAACAAACCCTGTTATTTAAGCTATTTGCTTGTGTCTGCTCTGAGGCCTTGACATGTTATGACAACCTAATCTGAGTTAGGACGAAAAGAATAGTAAAAAAAAAAGGTAATCACACATTATGCTAACAAATACAGTGGAGGCAACAGCTGAAGACAACAGGTGTGTGCAGAGACTGTATGGTGGCATGCTATGAGTGCAAACTTAACAATGCCTGCAGCTGCTATGCAATAAAACCCAGAAGCAAAAACCTACAATAGGGTAAGAAGCAGGGAAAGCCAGAGAATAACTCAGAGATGTGCAGGGTTTTGTTACTACCATCAGATCTGTGTTTGTCTCCAAGGCTCCAAATATTACAGAGCATAGAAAATAAAATGAAAGGCACCAGCCAGGAAATCTGCTGAAGTGAGAATATGTGGAAGCCATCATTACTGTGTTATATCCTTAGTGCACAATATGAACACAGTAGGGTCTCACAAACACACAGAACTGATAGAATCAAATAAATTTACAAAATCCATGCAAACGCACACTAAAAATCACAACAACGGGAAAGAAAAAGCCACAAGTAAAAGGATGGAATCTACTGGTTTCTGCTTTTAAAAAATACAAACCTTGTCCTTA